GGAAGGCCGGGCTGAAGCCTGCCCCCCAGAGCCCAGCCCATCTGTCCAAACTGGGTGGCAGCCACGCTGGCTGCCTTGGGGCTCCCCGGTCACAGCTGTTCCTGCGGCGGGTGGCAGTGACATGGCGGAGGCTGCCTCCCGTGGCCTGACAAGGCCTGAGGGAGACACAGAGATCTGGAACATGAGGGGCCTGAGAAACACCTGCTACCGCGCTGGGAACTCGGTTTGAGGATTTGTTCATGACAAGGTTAGCCCTGGAGGGGGGCTGAGGTGCAGGGCGAGGCTGGCGTGACCTCCATGACTTACAGTGGTCCCGCTCCTGAGCCCCCAGACAGTCCCCGAGTGGCTCTGGGGGTCCTGACCTCCTTAAGCGGAGCACAAGCCTCAGGCCCGAGGTCACCTCCTGACCTTGCTCCTGCCCCTGCGGTGGAGGTCAGGAAAGCCAGTGTGACCCAGGCCAAGGGAGAGCTGAACAGAGACCTGAATCCAGAGTATGGAACCAGAGAAAGGGAGGCCCAGCCGCAGCAAGAGGTGTTCTGGTTAGACACCAGGAGGCACTGGCGGGGATGCTGAAGGGAGCAGGTGTTCCGAGGAAGAACAGAAAGCCACCCTCTGTCTGTGACAATCTGCCTGTGGGAAAAAAATACAGCAGGGACCCCTGCCTCCCCTGCCTTCACTGGCTTCTCTACCACCCCTCACCTCCGTCCTCCTCTCTCCTCTCCTGCTCACTCCAGCATATGCCTCTATCATCGGCTTGGGCCGGGTCCCAGCTGCCAGCGGTCACCTGGCTTGTTCCAGTGTCGCCGGACAGGGCAAGATGGGGCAGATTTGAGCTTGGACACAATCCAGCCAGTGTCTGAAGAGCCCTAGACCTGCTGGAGGTGAAGGAGCCCGGGCTCTGCCCCCGGCGCTTCCAGCCAGGTACAAGGATCAGACAGCAAAACCGACACCCAAGCCCAAGGAGAGGAAGAGCAGTGGGAGCGGCACGAGCCAAGGTGCTGGGCTCAGAGACCACAGCCCGGGCAGTCAGGGAAGGCTCCTAGGAGGTGGCATTTGGAGGGCACATGGGTTTCCACTTGGACAGAAACCAGTGGGGACAGGGGCAGTGTGGGCGCAGGGGACACATGAGTAGAGGAGAGGAGCAGAGCGTGGAAGGTTCAGGCAGACGGGCTGGGCTGCAGAGGTGGGGAGAAGGGTCTAGTGAGCTATCAGGCAGGTTGGGGCCAATGCAGGAGGCCCTGCCTCTCAGGGCGATGATTTAAGTGGTCAGGCAGTGGGGAGTTACTGACGGTTTCTGAGGAAGGGCATGCCAATACTGGGGCTGGGACCAGAGGGGCTGCTGGAGTTTGCTCCTGTCCCAGGATCTCATGAAAGACCCTAATCCTGAGTGCCAGCCTCCCAGGGACTCTGAGAGGAGTAAATCATCTGTGTGGCCCAAACGTTACCCCCCTCGGTGAGGGGCTTCCCCACCCGGCTCCTCTGGTGCTCCCCATACCTGTCCCCACTCTGCTCTTCCTGGTCCTGCGCCTGCCCCTCCCACCACACTGCCGAACCCTTCCTTCTGACTATGGCCCCTGCCCCCACCAGAACAGAGGCCCCACGCAGCACGGGCTGAGTCTGTCTCCCAGCCGCTGAATACCCAGGGTCGAGCCCAGTTTCTGGATTCCTAGCAAATTCATTCATTTTTCAATTTTTAATTTATTTTTTCATTTATTTGAAAGGCAGAGGAAAAACTGACAGTGATCTTCCATGCACAGGTTCATTCTCTAAGTGCCTGCAACAGCCGAGGCTGTGCCAGGTCAAACCTGGGAGTCTGGAACTCCATCTGGGTCTCCCATGGAGGTAGCAGGGACGCGAGTGCTGTTGGCTGCTGCCTCCCACAGCGCACATTAGCAGGAACCTGGAATCAAGAGCGGAGCCAGGACTCTAACCCAGACAGCACAGCCCAATATGGGACACAGGCATCCAAGCTGCCTCTCAACTCCTGTGCCAAACGCCTGACCTGACATTTGTTGAATGAATAAGGAGAAAGCAAACACCAGCCTGCGGGAACCAGCACAGCCTGTGTGATCCCCTCTCTGTCACCTCACTCCTGGCTTCCCGGGCTCGATGGGACCCCAAGGCTCTCAGTGGAAAAGCCTCTGAGACAGCCCCCCCCCCCCCACAGCCTAGAAGAACAACTTTGCTGTCTGATCAGAACACTTGCACTTGACCATGTGCTGCGCCGTGCAGGCGCTGTCCCCACACTCTGCACATTTTGTTCTATGTGTGCCTTGCATTCACCTTATAAAGCAGGTAATAGGGGCTGGCATTATGGTGTGGTGGGTTAAGCTGCCGCCTACAATGCTGGCATCCTATACGGACGCCGGTTCAAATTCTGGCTGCTCCACTTCCGATCCAGCTCCCTGCTAGAGTGGGCAAAGATGGCCCAGGAGTTTGGGCCCCTGCCACCCAAGTGTGCGATCTGGATGAAGCTCCTGGCTCCTGGTTCTGGGCTGGCTCAGCCCTGGCTGCTGTGGCCATTTGGAGAGTGAAGCAGAAAGGATGGAAGATCTTTCTCTGTCTCTTCCTCTCTTTCTGTAACTCTGACCTTCAAATAGATAAATAAATCTTTTCAAAGAAAGTGGCCAGTAGCTTCCTCATTTCACAGATGGAAACACAAGGGCCCAGAGGAGCTCCCTGACACAGCCAAGGTCTCCCCGTCAGATGAAGAGCCGTTCCTACACCAAACCCGCGCTCCTCCCTCTGCAGTACCCGGACCCTCTTCTGCCGGAGAATCACTGAGACGCACAGTGGGGGAGGGGGAGCTTGCCGAGCGCTCTGCCCAAGGCCCAGGCTGGGGCAGTTTCTGCTGGTCTCGGGCTTCCCCCCTGGGCTGCAGGAGTCCAGGTTTTGGCCACTTCCCAGCGATGACCAAGGACAGTGTCGTCTCATCTGACCCGATCAGAGCGCGTGCACAGCTGTGGCCGCCGCCTGTCCTGGGTGAGGGCCAGGTATCCTCCCCTTCACTCTGATGCGGCCCAGGGCTGCAGTCCAAAGCAGGGCTCACTACATTTGCAGTTCCAGCAGATCCCGGGAAAACACAGCTACCCCGTGTGCCCATCTGGCACCCCATCCCCAGGAGTGCCGGCAGCCAGGCTGTGGTTGGATCCGAGCCGCAGCTGCACGGCTGTAGATGCCTGCACTTCCACTCCTTAGGAACCCAGTTTATCCACCTTGAGGGTGAGACCCTCCCTCTCCAGAGACCTTGCTGACTCATAATTATGTGCAATGCAAACATTCTGCAGTGTCTGCCTCCAAGGCCCTTCACCAGCAAGTTAAAGCGCAGCCGTGGAACAGGCAGTGGGGAGCCACGGATGACTGTGGAGCAGGGGAGCGAGGTGACTGCTCTGCGCTTTGGAGAGGTTAAGCAGGCAGGCAGCAGAGTGTGCCCGGGAGAGAGCGAGCTCCTGTTATGCTCAGAGCTAATGTGCTAAGCGCTTACTGGGACTTAGGTGTTTCCAGCACTTCACAGAGATGAACTTATTTCTTGTTCACAGGCACCCAGGGGTGCCACTGTTACCCCCATTTTAAGTGCACAGAGCTGAGCAGGCTCATGGGTGGTGGAACTGGGTCCAGAGCCTGGGTTTGTTCAGCGCTGACTCTCACAGCCTCTGGACAGGGGCCTGGGCAGTGGGCACGGCCAGGAGCTGGGAGTGAACGACAGCCTATGGCTAAGGCTCCTAGCCCAGGGCGCTATCCCAGGCAGGGAACAGGGCAGCTCAGAGAGACCTGCCCACCGAGCACTGTGCACGGAGAACCGCATCTCAGATTCCTTTTATTGATAACAGCGGCAATCGCAATGTTCCTGGCCAACGGCCCGTCCAGAATAACTTCCTGCTTCACATCAAAGAGATCTGAGACACACTCAGAAGGAGAAATCTTGTCTCAGCTCTGGCTTCCTCCAGAAAAAGCCTCCTGCACTATCGCGTCCTTTGTTGCAAAGATTTATTTATCAACTTATTTAATTACTTAAACAGGGAAGAAAGCCACGTGTGGACGCCAACCTGGCTTTAACACATCCAAGCTGGGGATGTCAGTCACAGTCAAGGCCCCTTTTGCAAGGGGGGATAAAATGCTAGAGGTGACCGAGCAGGGGAAGGCAAGGAGAAGGAGTCAGAGAGAGAGAGAGAGAGAGAGAGAGAGAGAGCGCTCTCTCACCCGCTGGCTCACTCCCTAAAAGGCTGCAATGGTCCTGGGCTAAGGGTGGAAGCTGGGAGCAGCGAGCTCAATCCAGGTCTCCCAAGAGGGTGGCAGGGACCCAATGACTTGAGCCATCAGCTGCTGCCTCCAGGGTGCACTGGAATCAGAAGTAGAGCTAGGAACTGAACCACGTGGCCCAGCATGGGGCCCAGGTGTCTCAGCCACTAGACCAGCGCCTGCCCCTCCTGTACAGTTTTGACGAGATGACTCCTTATTCCCGAGATGTTCACCTGTGATGTCCAAAAGACCGCGCCTGATGTTACATCAGCGTTGGTTACATGAGGCTATGTGCAGTGTTTGAGAGGGAGGGAACAGGGACCATGGCTGGAGCTGTCACCAGAGGCCCTCGCAGCTCCAGCATGCAGTGGAGACACCATCTGTCCCAATCCTCACCCAGTGAAAGTGTCCAGTCAGGGACCCCTCCAAACGCCGTGTCCCCAAGCCAGGGTCAGCTGCGGCTGGGTGGAGCCACTCAGGGGACTCAGCTAGAAGCTCAGCCGGGGCGAGGCATCTCCGAGGGCTGAGGGCATCCTAACCAGCGAGTCTACCGGGGTCACCCTGGACAGCGCCCTTTGGAGATGGGCTGCCCACTCCCGCCAGGCTGTGGCTTAGAAAGGTCTGGGAAGGTCTTTCACCTAGTGGTGACGAGAGAGCCACGGGCCAGGGGAGCAGCCAGGACAGCCACGTTCCCTGGACTTCCCAAGGGGCTGGTGCTCTCGGGCTTACCCGATGGCCAGGATGACGGCAGGGGCACCTACCTGGTGCAGCAGGTGCGGCCGGGGCTCGGACTGATGGGCGGTCACCAGGCCTTCCTCCTCTTGATCAGGCCCCAGGAAACGCTGCCTCTGAGTGGCCCAGCTGTGTCTCCACTCAATTCCCGGCCACAAGGGTGGCTGCTCCAAAGCTCTGTAGCACAGGGACAAGGGAACACCGTCAGGGCGGGCAGGCCTGCATCCCAGTCCTCCCTGCGGCTCCTCCCCAAGCCCAGGCCCCTCCCAGACCTTCCCACAGGTGCTGCTGCCCCAGGGGAGCTCTGCGAAGTTCTCCAAACCCAGGTCAGCAAGTGAGCACCCCGGGGTGGGTGAGCCGGAAGGTATCACTTATCTTAGCTGAGCACAGGCCTGGGAGGGGACCACGGGCCGACTTCTGCAGCGGCAGTGGAAGCAGTGGCTTTGTCCCCTCCACCCTCACCCCAGTGAGTTCTGGCAGCCACATGCCACAGATGCTGCCACCAGGGCCGGGCTGAGAGAGGTCAGGGGCGCCGGCAGCCACCTCCTTCTGAGAATCATCTGATGGGGGTACTGCTAAAACGCAGCTTTGGGGCCCTACCCCATCCAGTGGGTCTGAATCCCCAGGAAGGCGCCTGGGCATGCGCACTTTAACAAGGTCCCCTTGTGGATTCGGCGGAATGTAGGGAAAGTGCAGACGGGTCCAAAGGGGTGCTCAGGCTGCGCACATAGGGGGTCGTAAGACCCCGCCTCCGCAGACAGCATAACCAGGGACCCTGAGACGCGTGCTGCGGCCCCTCCAGGGCTCCCTCTCCTCACAGACAGACAGACTGGGGATGACCTCCTGGGCCCTGCCCGATTAAAGTTATGCCTGCAAGAAGAGGCGAACCAGCTGAGAAACCAAATGGAAAAGCAGCCCAGGGTGAGGCGTTTCATTCAGGATTCTCCTTTGATCATCGGCTTCTTCCTCAAGATTTTAAAAATCTGGGGCCAGCACTGTGGCCCAGCCAGCATCCCGTGTGGGCGCCTGTTTGAATCCTGGCTGCTTCTGTTCCGATCCAGCTCCCTGCTAATGGCCTGGGAAAGCAGCGGATGATGTCCAAGTGCTTGGGCCCCTGTACCCACGTGGGAGACCCGCACACTCTTGGATCCAGCCTGGCCAGGCCCTGGCTGTGGCAGCCATCTGGGCAGTGAACCAACAGATAGAAGGTCTCTCTCTCCCTCTCCCTCTCTTTCAAATAAATAAAATAAGTCCTATTTTTTAAAAATTCTGAGAATAACATGCTTGTGGGAAAGAATCAAACCCTTCTACAAAATACACAATGAAATCTAGGCTGTCTGCCCCTGTCAGCCCACACCTCTGACCCACCCCAAACACAAACATTATGTTTCCTGTTTACATTTTCTTCTAGAATTTTTCCAAAAACATGGACAAAATACATATGGACCAAAAGTACCCATGTCTGCATGTTCGCTTTAAATGTCCCTGAGCCAGGAAACTTTCCCCAGGGCCCTGCCCTTGCACACAGAGCAACACAGGCCGTCCCTTCACCGGTCAGTGGCTCAGCGCCTCGCACCGAACAGACTATCCTGTGACGTGCGCGAACCCAGCCGTCCCAATCCACCTGTGTGCTGCACACATCGCCAACACCGTCTCGAATGATGTCTCTCTGAGCATGCGCAAGACGGTAGTCACGTGATCCACCCCTCCGCTGCAGGTCACGTGCCTGTAAACTTCCGCCAAACGTCGCCCAGGGTTCCCTCTGCAAGCGGTGGGCCCGTTTGCTCTGGCACGCAGGACTGCTCGTCCCTTACCATCCTCTGCAACACACGACACGGTGCAGTAGCAACTCTTTAGACGTTGCAGCGCGAGAACTGACAGATGATATCTTGTTTCCATTTGTAATTCTTGAATTGCCACAGGGAGCAGCCCTGTTAGCCTGTGTACAGATTGGTTGGCGTCTGCGTGTATTTTGATGTTCCTTTCTCATTTATCTTCCTGATTTTTAGGGCAATTAACTTTTTGTCATGTGTACTGCAGACTGCCATTTCAGTTTTTTAATTTTAATTTTTTTAAGATTTATTATTGGGGCCTGGTGCTGTGGCACAGCAGGTTAAAGCCCTGGCCTGCAGCTCCAGCATCCCATATGGGTGCCAGTTCGAGTCCTGGGTGCTCCACTTCAGATCCAGCTTCCTGCTGATGGGCCTGGGGGAGCAGCAGAGGATGGCCCAAGTTCTTGGGCCCCTGCACCCATGTGGGAGACCCGAAAGAAGCTCCTGACTCCTGGCTTTGGATCAGCTCAGCCCCAGCCTTTGCGGCCATTTGGGGACTGAAATAGTGGATGGAGGACCTTCCTAACTCTATGTGTCTCTACCTCTCTCTGCAACTGTCTTTCAAATACATAATATAAATCTTTCAGATTTGAAAGAGTTACATAAAGTGAGAAGGAGTGGAAGAGAGAGAGAGGTCTTCCATCCACTGGTTCACTCCCCAATTGGCTGCAATGGCCAGAGCTGTGCTGATCTGAAGCCAGGAGCCAGGAGCTTCTTCCCAGTATTCCACGTGAGTGCAGAGACCCAAGGACTTGGGCCATCTTCTACGGCTTTCCCAGGTCATAGCAGAGAGCTGGATCGGAAATGGAGCAGCCAGAACTCAAATGGTGCCCATATGGGATGCCAGCACTGAAGGCAGTGGCTTTACTCACTATGACACAGCACTGACACCTACAATAAATATTTTTAAAAAATTTTATTATTGGGGCCAGCACTGTGGCTTAAAAGGCCTCTGCTTGCAGTGCCGGCATCCTGTATGGGCACTGGTTGGAGTCCCAGCTGCTCCACTTATGTTCCAGCTCCCTGCTAATGCAGCTGGGAAAGCAGTGGAAGATGGCCCCAGAGCTTGGGCCCCTGCACCTACATGGGAAGCCTGGAGGAAGCTCCCAGCTCCTGGCTTTGGCTTAACCCAGCCCCAATGTTGCAGGCATTTAAGGAATGAATCAGTGGGTGGAAGACCTCTCTCTCTCTCTCTCTCTCTCTCTCTCTCTCTGCATCTCTGCCTTTCAAATAAACAAATAAATCTTAAACAAATTTTATTATTAATTTACTTGAAAGGCAGAACAACATACAACTTCTGAGTTTCAGATTTGTCTAAAAGCTTTCGCTTCTGAGGGTCATAAACATATTTGTCCATATTTCCCGCCAGTCCGGTTAGGGTTTTCATCCAGTCTTTGCCTCATCTAGGACTTACTGTGGTGTTAAGGACAACAGCAGGGCCCAGTTCCATAGCTTCCCTCAAAAGGCTAGCCAGACAGTCGTCCTGAGGTCACGCTGGAATCGTCCATTTTCTGTCCGTCCCCACCTTCCTCCTAGATCTAAAATCCCAGTTTAACTGTGTAATAGGATGGGTACAAAGAACATAAACTCAAGACCCTGGCTCAAATCCCAGCTCTACCGGATCAAGGATAAGTGACTTTCCGTGCCTCAGTTTCCTTGTCTAGCGATGCGGATAACCATAGCACTCTCTGCGTAGGGTTCTCACAGGAATGAAACGAGTCAGTTTCCTTGTCTAGCGATGCGGATAACCATAGCGCTCTCTGCGTAGGGTTCTCACAGGAATGAAATGAGTCAGTTTCCTTGTCTAGCGATGCGGATAACCATAGCGCTCTCTGCGTAGGGTTCTCGCAGGAATGAAACGAGTTCTTACATTCTTGTCAAAGCGTACCGCTCTCCAGCGTCTCACCTTACACACGGACACGCCAAGCTGGAAGTGAAAGGGTGCACCAGAGGCCTCCCGCACACAGTAACTACCAGACTGTGTCCCCAGAACTCATGTGCTGGGACTTAATCCCCATGCAACAGCGCTGAGAGATGGGACGTTTAAGAATCTTCTGTGGGAGACCCAGATTGCACCTGGCTCCTGACTTGGGATCTGCTCAGCTCCAGCCGTTGTGGCCATTTGGGGAGTGAACCAGCAGATGGATGGCCTTTCTCTCTATTTCTTCCTCTCTCTGTAACTCTATTTCTCAAATAAATAAATAAAATAGTTTTAAAAAAAGAGGTGATTAGATAATGAGGATTCTCCCATTAATGGGTTAGTGCTGCTGTCACAGGAGTGAATGCTACAATAGTTTGGCCTCCTTTGCTCTCTTGAGCATGTCCTCTGCCGTATGACGCTTTCCATCCTGTTATCTTGCAGCAAAAAGCCCTCCCCAGATGCCAGCCCCTTGATCTCGGACGTTCCAGCCTCCACAACTATGAGTCAGGCAATGCCTGTTCTTTACCACTGAACTCCTCTCAGATATCATTACCGCAGCACAGATGATGGTGAGCGAGTACTGCCAGGGGTGGCCACAGTCACACAAATAAGCCAACATCTGCTACGAGAGACAAAGAGGGACATTCTATAATGATAAAGAGTTAACTCATCAGGAGGATATAACAATTATAACTATAGGGGCCGGCGCTGTGGCATAACGGGTAAAGCCGCTGCCTGCAGTGCCGGCATCCCAAATGGGTGCCAGTCCGATTCCCAGCTGCTCCACTTCCGATCCAGCTCTCTGCTATGGCCTGGGAAAGCAGGAGAGGATGGCCCAAGTCCTCAGGCCCCTGCACCCACGTGGGAGACCGGAGGAAGCTCCTGGCTCCTGCCTTTGGAATGCCGCAGCTCTGGCCGTTGCAGCCAATTGGGGAATGAACCAGCAGATGGAAGACCTCTCTCTGTGTGTCTTTCTCTGCCTCTCCTCTCTCTGTGTTAACTCTGCCTTTCAAATAAATAAAAATAAATCTTAAAAAAACAATTATAACTATAGATGTACCTAACAACAAAGCACCCAACTGTATAAAAGGAAACATGGAATTGAAGGGGGAAATAGCAACACAATAGCAGTAGGAGATTTCAATACCTCACGTTCAGTAATGAATGGAACCATTAAAAAAAAAAAGGTCAATAAGGAAACAAAGGGGCTGGTGTTGAGGTGCAACAGTAAAGCTTCCACTCATACAGGTGCCGATTCGTATTCCGGCTGCCCCACTTCCCACCCAGCTCCCTGCTAATAGCCTGGGAAAAGCAGCGGAAGATGGCCCAAGTGTTTGGACTCCTGCCACCCATGTGAGAGACCTGGATGAGGCTCCTGGCTCCTGGCTTCAGCCTGGCCCAGCGCCGGCCATTGCAGCTCTGCA